TAGACCGTCAATTTTCAAGATTTTTATATGTTTATAGATCTACTTAATTTTAACCATTTTTGGAGTTTTGAATTTTATAATTTTGAGATAATCCTAATAATTTTTTTCACCAAAATTATATCTTATGATATAGTTTGGAGGTACACCTTAATTGGATTATTTAAGGTTGCAACCTTATAGAAACCACATCTTTTTAAAAATGAATCCAAATAGGTGGTTCATTTTAAAACAATTGAAACTAACTGTGCAAATGTTATCTTAATAAAATTATTATTTCTAATTTTAAATTTTTTTTTCCATATGATCTACTTCTTAGAGACTTCATGTTCTTAAAAATTAAGTCAAAAAATCCTTCTCAAAAATAGATTTTTTAGAGTTATATAGACCGTCTATTTTCAAGTGTTTATGGATCTACTATATCTATACAATTTTTAAAAATTTAAATTTTATAAATAAGAATAAAAATAAATTTTAAAGCCATCATAAAGTTTCTGACACTGAAACTAATCTCAAAACAAATTTTACGGAGATGGACACGGTTTTAATGAGTCCATGTAGAAATAAGTCACCTCTAATGTTTTAACGGGAGGTGACTTATTTCTACATGGACTCATTAAAACCAAGCTTTTTTTATATAAGAATCCCTTCTATATCTAGAGAGTTATGTGAAATCAAGCTTCTCTTCAAATCCGGCCTATGCTTCACATTTTCAAAGAGTTCAAACGATTCCATCATACATCTTTATGCGAACCGAGCTCATAATTGTTGAGTTGTTTCCCATAGATGCCAGTTCACCATCACATGGCTTATATGTATCATACCAATGGCTTAAGCCAACACGTTATATGTGACTCCACTATCAAGAACACAACTTTAATAGAATTCAAAATTGTATTCCACTATATAAACTTCATCCTCGATATAACTTGTATGTTGATTCTTCTACTTCATCAGCCTCATCTTGTCATTTGATTCCCTAACCAGAATCCTCAGAAGGATTTCCCCTTTTTCTCTCCAACACTTGTTCTTTCTGTGGTCGGGTTTACAACAATTCTTCTTGTTCTCTCTTTACTTTAATCAAGCGGTGGACTTGCATCTTGAAGGTCTTCATGATGAATAAACTCAAACCCTTGCCCTGAGCACCATCAAACTCTGATTCCATCAAATATTCATTCTTTTGGCGTTCATGTAGCAAGAAATATGCTATAAACTGTACTCAAGTTAAGCGGATCCTTTTAGCTACAACTTAATGATGTCGCCAAATTATCACAATAGTCTAGGAATGGACCAGCGGCATTTATGCTTTGTTTTTATCTTTCATTTTTTTTATTCTATCATTGAAAGTGTTCAAATGATCGTAAGCTTTCATTCTCAAGCTAAATAATTTTCTCTTTAATAGAATTCAGTTTGTGAGGGACTCATTTTTATTTTAACTTAATAACTTCCCCACAAACCCTTGGTCGTCGTTTTAGCTACAATGTTGAGTAAATCACTCTCCTAAATAAGTATACAAAGACTAGGCTTTTGCATCACTTGTTGCGAATTGATACGCAAAAACCCAAATAAACTGGGCACCACAACCACACACCCAAACACCAATTATATGGTTTCAATAACTTAGGGAAACACACAAGACTGATGTGCAATTAATTGGAAAAAAATAATAGAGATGGAACAAACAAGCCACAAAAATAAAATAAAAGATCAAAGTGTAAACCAAATTCACATTGTTGGCCATTAGGGCTACATCCACAAGCAAGACAACAAGTAAAATCATCAAGAGAAAAAAAGTTGTAACATGATATACAATATTGCCTTCCAATGATAAACCCAATGAAGAATCCCCTATCGACTCACTAAGACACTACCAAGAGATCAACTCTCTTCCATGATCCGTCACCATGAATGACCATCTTGAATGGTCCAAAAGTGAGCAAACTAGCTCACAAACAAAATTTCATAATATTTCTGCAAAATATGCTTCAAATATCATAAGGATGTGTATAAAGTCAGGAGTTACCATTCAGGGCTCTGATATGCCCTGAAAAGTCCCTAATAGTCGGTCACCATATATGTCTTAATGATTGGTCCTATACCCCTAGCCTCTATATGTCCCACCACATGATATTGAAAGAGCTCGAGTACAATTTGATATGACTTTAGATCTGTCGTTCATTAAAAACGATTACAACAAATTTACATCACTCGAAACTAAAAGCGAAGACAAAGAAACTCCCCTCTTAGCCAACGAATCGGCCCAAGCATTAGCCTTTCTATAAGCATGTTGAAAAGAGATCGTGAGTCCTCCTGTCTAATCAAGAATTTCACACCACATAGGCCTAAGGGTCTAAGGAACTCTCTGCTTATTAGAGCACCAATTGATCACGTTCATAGAGTTTCCTTCCACCATGCAGCAGGTCCCTAGATTTTTGTCCCTAAAAAATTTCAGACCTTGCAAAAGAGCTGCAAGATCCACAAAATTAGCAGAGGCTTGACCCAGAGGCCCCGAGTTACCGAAAACTATTCTCCTATCAGCCCCTCTCACCACACCTCCCATACCTGCTTCTCCAGGATTCTCATAAGAACTTCCATTAAAGTTCAGTTTAAAAGATCCCTCCAAAGGTGGAACCCATCTACCCACATGCCTATTTCTGATCGCTCAAAGGTGAATAAGATTGTGCAGATTTCGTAATACATCTATCCAAGAAATTCCTTGACATTCTTTCATAATACTTAACCAACTCCAACTAGAATGTAAGACATTGTTCATCACCCTCTCTACAGACATTTAGAGGTGTGCCTTAAGGTTGACACCTTATACAAACCTCACCTTTTATAAAATGACGATTATTATTATCCTCTTTTGGGTTGGTGTTTTTTTTTTGTTTTTTTTTTTTGGGGGGGGAGGTTGTCTTTTGGTTGGGTTGCGAATGATAATTTCAATTTCTTTATGAGTTTATGAGAAAATCTTTGCCCCACTTGTCTTCTCTCTCTATAAAAACACAACCTTCTCTGTCTTATCACAATAAGTCTTCCTCTTCTCTCTTTCCAAATGTGATGCATCTCCTCCTCCTATTCTCCAAAAATCCCCACTTATATAAGGATTAGAACTGCCCTCATCAAATAATTTAAATGCTCTTTTGAATTTCCTCCCACTAGTTATTTTGTATGGAATCAATTGGATGTTCAGTGAAAGCTCATATGTCCATTAAGATAATGAAATCTAGTCTTACTATATTCATTGTTGAAGCAAGAAGGGAGTCATCTAGCCTATGGCATGCACGCTGATGTGATCCTAGTTACTCTATTATTCATTAATTTGGAAGATGTTCAACTCTCCAAAGTTTATAGATGAGTTACTTTCTAGCATTTATATATATCATAACTTCACAAACGGCCAACATCCTCTTAATGTTAATAGATAAGTACCCATGTGCGCCTTTGGAGCTAGTTCATAATGACACTTGGAGCCCTACTCAAGTTGCCTATGTAGCTAGGACTCAATTGTATGCTATATTTGTAGATAATTATCCTCATTTTGTTTGGATATATATAACAGATTGTCCACAAAAAAACTATTTATCTTTTGTATAAGGAGGTCACAATCAATTTCGTCTTTTAAATTTCAAAATGGTTGGTTGTAAAAGTGTCATTGAATAGTTGTGACCTCTTTGTATGAAAGATAAATGGTCTCTTTATAGAAAATCCTTATATATAATACACATCTGATGCATTTAGTCGTTCTCAGCATTTTTATGCCTATGTTGAACCCCAATTTGCTCAAAAGATTAAATTCTTAGCTTTGATGGTGGTGGTGGATATTCTTTTTATGTCTTTGAGGAATGCTTAAAGAGCAATGACATTTATCATCAATATTCTTGTCCCTATACCCTGCACAGTTTATGAGCGTGAACATTCGCATATTATTATAGAGTAGTTTGTCAATGAGGCATGCTAGTAATCTTCCCATGCTCCTTTTAACATTGCAGATCATCTTGTAAATTGATTATGAAGTTCTAAACTCTTTTTCGTATATCTAATTCAAAAGCATTTTAGATACGATCCCGATTAGTCATTTTTGTGTCTGTTATTCCCATATTGATGCGTATCAAAGAAACAAATTCCCTTAAAGCTTTTGAATATGGCTTTGAAGATTACAGTGCATGAAGGTTATCAATGCTATGATAAAGTATCCCACGTTTTTATATCTTTTATGTAACATTTGCTGAAACTAAATATGTTAAAGAATCTAACCAACCATTAAACATCAAATAATTGTTTGCTGATGTTATAAAAAAGAGGCAAAAAAAGCATAATCCTTCACCTCATAAAAAGACCTTGAACTTGAAACAAGAATTCTCTTGGTAGAGACAATACCATCAACCTGAGGGAAAATATCTTTGAGCTACCTTGTGTTTTATCAAAGGGACTCATTGGTGATTGATTACTTGATCAAGTTGCACTTTAATATTATTATTATGTTTGGCTTTGCTCTTGTTCTTCTTACCATCCTTCTGTTTTTGCGTAATAATGCAATTTGATGGCTAGGTGTCAGTATAATTGATAAAGGAAGAACTTTATATAAGTGCAAGGTTCTAAATAATCAAATTAGGGCGTGCCTCAAAAATTTCACTAGAAGAGGTGGTTTCGATGCTCAAAAATCCTCAAATTGATATGTCGACCTCAAGATTCATGGATATGAGAAAAAAATGAATTTTTAGTTTGGAATAGTGCATCTTGTAATGCATTTTTGGGCCGTCAATTATCAAGATTTCCAAATGTCCACAGATCTGCTAAATCTACGCTATCTTTGAAGCTTTAAATTTCATAATTTGAGATGAAAATAAATTTCCAGGCCATCACAAAGATTTCTGATACTAAAATTACAACTTTTGATACTATTTGAAGTTGTGCTTTACTTTGATTGTTTAGAGCCTCAGCCTTATACAAACCACACCCACTCATAAATCACAAGGTGAAAGGTACAAACAAAAAAGAAGGGAGGAAATTGCAAAGAATGGATGATTTCTCCCTCTCCAAACACAAAGCAGCAAAGCCAAATAATACCCCATTGCACAACAAACAAAATACAATATGCATGAAAGAGAACAAAGAATACAATAGGTAATACAATATGCATGAAAGAGAACAAAGAATACAATAGGTAAATAAATTTTTTTATAAAGAACCAACATCTTTCTTCACCTAACCACTCTCTTTGGGCATATCTTCATGGCTAGCCAATAAACCATCAATAATGTTCCCTCTATTCTCTCTGTCTCTCTCTGTTCTCCCTCCTCCCTCCCCCTCTCTCTCTCTCTCTCTCATCAAATCTCATAGCCAAAATAGTCATAGTCATGGTCATAATCACAGTTAAAACTAGAAAATTTGAACTCATGAATGCCTCTGGCCTGGAAGGAGAGCTCAAAATCCAGTATCAATCTTCCACACCCCATGACATTTAGGTGCTCCAAATCCCTACAAGACTCCATTATACACCTCAAACCAGACCCATCTATGCCACTTCCACTTATGTTAAGCCATTTCAGGTTAGGGAATTTCTTCCCTATGGCCTCAGCCATCTCATAGCTTATACTTCCTCCATAATTCAACCCCTCCAAATTAGGGCAAGTCCCCTCAATTTCTTCTATGGCCTCTGTGCTCAAGCAATTTGAGCCTCGAAGGTCCACAAACTTCAATTCTTTCCATATTCTTAACATTTGACATAGAGCTTTCCCTGAAACTTTAGTGCAGTCTCTTAGAGAAAGAGACTCTATTGATGGGCACCTGCAAAGGATTACATCTCATTGTTAAAACTCTTAAATGAATTACAGTGAAATTATTTTTTTTTATTTTTTAAATTTAAAATTAAGTTATGTTCTTTTGCAAAATTATTTCTACAAGGATGGGAATTACTTTATCATTCAAACTCCCACCACTATTGAATTCCTATGCAGTCATTGAGAGATGGGGCTCTAAATTGGGTATTTACCAATGGGAAAAGTTTATATAAGGTCAATCTTAACTATTAAAGTAAGATGCACCACAAAAATCCTACTATTCATCATCTCGAACTCAAGATGTATGAACATGAAGAAAAAAAGAATTTCAAGTTCAAAAAATAATGCATATTAAGTTATCTAGACTATAAGATTTCCAAGTGTTTATCGATCTCCTCGACATGTACTATTTTTAAATTTTTAAATTTCATAAATAAGGATGAATCATAAGGTTTCTGACACCAAAACAGAATCTCCAAACAAATTTTAGAGATGCACCTTACTTCATAGGATGAGTAACCTTATACAAACCTGTAACGACCGGCCCAAAATTTTTGGAACTGACAAAAAAAAAAAAAAAAAATAATAATAAATAATAATAATAATAAATATTAAATATATATCCAAAAATAATTTTGAGCAAAAGTTATTTGTGATAATAATACACTATATAGACCATTCTTTTAGCTTTTCTTAAAATACTTCAAAAACCAAAATATTACTAAATATTCGAACAACCCATCTCTATTTGGGTGGACCTTAGGTCCACCATCTTTTTCTTTTCTTTACTTTTCATAAGGATGACTTTTACTTCTTATAATGCCATAATACGTGCCCCTTTCGATTCTCCATGGACACCTCTTTTGATGACGCGTTACAAAAATTTCATCTCTCTTATATACGTATAGGTCATGATGTAACACGTATAGGTCATGATGTAACAGGAAATCCAAAGGTTAGTTCCTTCAAAGAAAATAAAAAGGCGAGCTGTAATCATAAGGTTAGTTCCTTCAAAGAAAATAAAAAGGCGAGCTGTAATCATACAGAGTAAAGCATAGGTAAGTCGTTATAGTTTTTTCTTTTGAAAATTTGGAGCTTATGCTTGAACACCCTCCTTATAAATAATATGGAATTTTCTTAATTATGCCTGATAAAGGGTTGGATATTCATCATTCAATTTGGTGCATATTTAGGGACGGACTTTAATCTCTTAGTCCATTTTGAAGGTCCAGACCTAGATATAGTTCAGATGAATCAAATCTGATGAGCAACAGTAAGTGACATTTTCTTTTTGAAAAATAGTCTGTTTTTAATAAATACTGATATTTCCATCTAAGATCCTTATTTTATAAGTTTTGTGTGTAAGTGACATCATCTTCTTGAACAAATAGTCTGTTTTTAATAAATACTGATATTTCCGTCAAGGATCTTTATTTTATAAATTTTGTGTGTAAGTGACGTCATCTTCCTGAAAAATAGTCTATTTTTAATAAATAGTGATATTTCCATCCAGGATCTTTATTTTATAAGTTTTGTGTGTAAGTGACATCATCCTCCTGAAAAATAGTTTGGTTTTAAAATAGTTATATTTCATCCATCATCTTTATTTTATAAGTTTTATGTGTAAGTGACTTCGTTGTCTTGAAAAATGATCTGTTTTTTTATAACAAAATTGTGATATTTTATCTATTGTTAGGAATTTTAAATACTGTATATTATTAGAAATAAATGTGATATTTTCGCTTTTAGTAAAATTATGAGATTTCCTTCTACTGTTTTTGAATATTTAGACATTGAAAAATTCATACGTAAATATCTGCCTCATTATTTGAAAAAATGATATTTTTGTACTTGATTATAGTATTGCCTATGAAATGAGATTTTACAAATTGGCAATTCCATAAATTGTGATAATTCCGTATTTAATTTTGGATTCTCATAAAAGTTCGTCTATTGATACCAGACTGTTATCATGTTAGATTTCAAAAATGTTCTTCAGATTTGTTACCTTTCAAAAATTATTGCATAAAATGTTTAAATGGCTACTTAGAGATATTTCAATGGAAGTGATTGTTATTAAATTGCTTCAAGTGAAATCATGTTAATGTTTTCAACGATACTTCGCATATATGATATTGTTGCTTTCTGATGTTTAAAGAGTTTCAGAGATAATTTGAGTATAAGTGGACTTACATCCAGTTATGTCGGTAGGAACTATTTGGACTCATCCGAGACGCTGGTGAGGTATAATCGGACCTGCAAGGATCGTTAGGACCTATCCGGTTATGTTGGTCGGGTCTATTTGGACTCATCCGGGGCACCGGTGAGGTATGATCGGACATGCATGGATTGTTAGGACCTATCCGGTTACGTCGATAGTGACTATTTGGACTCATCCGGGACGCCGGTGAGTTATGTTTGGACATGCAAGGATTATTTAAACCTATCCGGTAGGGGCTATTTAGACTTATCCGATACGCCGGTGAGGTACGTTTGGATCTGCAGGGGTTGTTTGGACCCATTAGAACGCCGGTGGGGTATATAGGTGACTTACTTGGGATGCTAGTAGTGTATTTTATGAAATCCTTTGAATTATACATCTATGTTAAAATGTTTATATGCATTTCCACCATTTGGATTATGTTTAACTGTGGATTTGTGAAAAGTGAAATTGTTATTCATAAATGTTTTTGTTCACAATGCTCCTCCTCATGTTGTTTTTTTAATCTACATTCTTTAAAAAACGTTTATATCTTCCAACCATGATTAGTTTTAAGACCATGATGATCACTTACTGAGTAGCCAAACTCACCAAACTATGGTAAATATTTTTCAAGGTAATTGCAGTCCCATAGTTAAATGCACATCAGGACCAGCTTGTGAAGAAGATACAGTCATGTCATAACTAAATTATCCTTTGCAACTTTTGTTTAACCAATGTAAGTTTTTGTTCTATCAACAGATGTATACCGAGACTTCATGTTAGTACCAGTTGTAAACAAACTTTTTACAAATTTTAATTAATAGAAAAATTTATTTTGTTATAATATATATTAATAGGAATTTGAATTTTTTCCTAGTATAAGAATAGTCGATCGCATCTCGGGAATGTTAGAAATCTTGGGGCGTGACAAAACCTCACCCTTTACATAGAATAGTACGCACCCTTTCGCATATAAGCAAAACTAAAAAAGGAGCTCAATTATATCAAAGAAGAAAAAGAAATAGAGTAAATTACGAATGGACCCGAAATAATTACCTAAAATACAAATTGATTTGGTTATATGCTGAAATTACAATGAAAGTCGGTGAACCAATTTTTCTTTTTCAAAATTGCCCCTAGATCTGAAGATGCTTTTTTTTTTTTATTATTAATTTTTTTGTTAGTAGGGCAGTGCCCTTACTAAAGATAATGCTCGAGCGCCCTGGGTTAGAATCCTCAAACCATCTTGCTAACACAAGAAAACCCAAGTAGAAGCGGTCTAAGGATCCTCAAAGTGTTGTTTTTCTCAAAAAAAATAAAAAATAAAGCACAGTTCGAGGTCCCTTATCCTCGTACCGCTGTTTTTCTCAAAAATAAAAAATAAAGTGTTGTCCGAGGATGAAGACCTCATACTGTTGGTTTTCTCAAAGACAGAAAGAGCGGTTGGAGGATGATGACCTCGGATCACTCATAACTGAAAATGCTGAAAAAAATGAAAAATAAAATTGTAATACGGTATGAAGATGACATCCTCGTCTCGAGAACAACTTTGAAAAACATAAAATTTTCACCCAAAATTAAAGAGTTTCGTATTTTAGGTAAAGTTTTTGGGTCCGTACATAAATCACTCGAATATGTTTACAATTACGAAGAAAAACACCAATACTGCAGTTTCAAGGTTTAACCAACTTTCTCTTCAAGATTGTTTTAAATTTAATAATTAAAAAAAAAAAAAAAAGGGAGGGAAGAATCTCTCTGAAAATTTCATCAAAAACAACATTTACGAAAATAAACACTCAAAAACCAAAAATTAAGAACAAAGACTGCATTTCCAGCGAAATTCGGGAACGAACCTTTGCGCAATCTCTCGTAGAATGGCATCATCTACGCAGGATCGAGCCGAGACGGACTTTGCTCGAGACCCACATCGTCGAACCACAAAGAGGGCCTTCTGGTTCAGTCGATGCATTGGATCTTTGGGGGTCTCCTCTTCCTTGATGAGGGAAGAAAGGAAGGCATTGTGGTCAGAGATTTGAAGGGGATCCCAGCATGTGCGGTTGAGGGACGCCTGGTGCCACGAGCTGCACACAAGCGAGGCGACCTCGAGCGAGTCGAAGTCGTGTAGGCCGGAGAAGATGTGGAGCAAAATCTCTTCTGGGAGGCTCTCCCAAGACCTCTGGTAAGCTTGCATTTCCATGGATCTACTGTCTCTCTCTCAAATTCTCAGACAGCCCTTTCTCTCTCTCTGTCTCTCTCAAATTCTCAGACAACTCTTTCTCTCTCTCTCTCTCTCAAATTCTGAGACAACCCTTTCTCTTTCTCTCTCTCTCAAATTCTCAGACAACCCTTTCTCTTTCTCTCTCTCTCTCAATTCTCGGACAACCCTTTCTCTCTCTCTCTCTCTCTCTCTCTCAAGTGCTCCCGACTGCCTCTGCAACTGCCTTTGCCTATCTTACCACCTCAAGTAGTTGAGAAAGCCGTGACAACTTCCTCTTTCTCTCTCTATCTCTCTCTCTCTGCGTCTACCTTCAACCAGCGGTGATTGCGTATCGACTTCTCCAATTGATCCTCGATTATACTCGCCCTAAACAAAAAAAAAAAAAAAAGTAAAAAATAAAAAATATTTTCAATGATATAAAATAACCAATATACTTTTTTAAAAGTTTTAAAAGTATTTTCATTATTATATTTTATCAAAAGTTTATTTTTAATATTTTTTATACGAGAGCCTCATTAAAAAGGTGACACATACCAAATTTTATACACATATAATTTGTATAAAAAAAACCTAAAAATAAAATACTTGTAAAATATCGGATCTAAGATCAAATGACGAAAGACTCTCTTGATCAAAATTAGACGGTTGGATGATAAGAGAAACATAAATCTCCTAAGGGAAGTATAAAAACCTTTCTCTTCAATATCTATCTTTGTCAAATGGATGAAATTTCAATAGTCCCAATAAACACTCAAACTCCTCACTATCTCCACGTTTCAAGCCCAATCTTTTTCTCTCTTCCCAGATTTAGGGAATTCGTTGTGACCGGTCCTCTAAATATCCATCCTGATCAGCACTCTTGATAAAAAATTACTGAATTTTAAAATAGGAAAAATGATTTGATAGAAAAAAATTGAGGACCTGGTTTCTAGGACGCCAAGACTAGAAATGCGGTCCTCTTAATAAATTTATTTTTGAGATGAATTTTAAGTCTGAATAACCTCTAACATAGAGATCATGAATATGGAAAAATAAATAAAATTTAAAAACTAAAAATAATAATTATAATAAAAAAACATTTGGACCGCTAGTTTCCATTATTTTTAAATGGAATACCTACTTGCATCCATCTTTAAGATAGATGCTTTACACTTTTTTGACCGTATATGTAGAATTACGGTCCAACCCAAATGAAACAATTTTCCAAAAAAAATCGATCGTGAAAACTCAATTTGTGACCAAGGATATTTTAGAAATAATAAAAATAAAAGAAAAATCTAAAAATAAATATTCATCGTCAAAACACTTTTCAATCGTTATCAAAATGAGAAGACATAAATAAACATATTAATCTCATTTTTTTGAATTAAATTGTTATTATGTTTTTTTAATTTTTTTCCTTGAGCTTGAGGTACTCCGGCTTGCCATGTTGGCAAGCCCGAGTTCTCGGACGAGTCCATGTTGGCTCACCCGAGTAGTCAAACACGGCTTAGAATACATCCAGCCCAACAAAAGCCACCATTAGTTTTTCGACTTACATTCTTAAAGATCTTCTAAAATAACGGTCATTCTCTAATTTTTATCTTCAAATTGGTGTAAATTTCAATCTGCTTCAATTCACAATTCACATTTGCTCTCTAATTTTTATCTTCAGATTGGTAGATGTTACAGTATGCTTGAACTTAAAACAAATTTCACCATAAATAGAGTCACAAATCTCAAGAGAACTTGTTTACGGCAAACTTCATTCCACAACTCAAACCATGGATTTCATGAACCGAAAGGAACAAATAAGTCCTCATAATAATTTTTTTCCAGAAAAAGTTTATATAAGGTTGCAACCTTATACTATTGAAGTAAGGTGCACCTCAAAAATTCTACAGGAGTGAGTGTTCTGGTATAGGAGAACCCTCCCATTGATCATCCCGACCTTGAGATGGATGGAAATGAAGAACAATAATAATTTCAAGTCCAAAAAATAATGCATCTTGTAACAAATTATCTGAACCGTCTATTTTTAAGATTTTCAAGTATTTCTTGATTTGCTCTATCTGTACTATTTTTTAAATTTTATAACCGAGTATAAAAAGAGATTTTGAAGCCATCATACGGTTTTCAATGCCATCTCTAGGCAAATTATACAAATGCGCTTTACTTCTACAGTATAAAGAAGTAACATTATAGAAGCCTCACCCTGTTTTTCTGTGGGCATATGTTCGTTTTGTTGAAGAGGGGGCCGCCACAAATCATAGAAGCCACCACTTCCGTGCTTGGGCCGGCTTCTTGAAACCAACATCAAAAGATGTTTTTATGGCTTGTGGAATCTGTGGCTTCCAAATACTGACTTTCGCTCCCCCATAACAAACGTGGAAATGGCAGCCACAGCTTCCAGAAAACAAACGCGAAGGGCTTGTAGAAACTACCAAAGCCCGCTCTTCAGTAAGTCCTCAAAGCGTTGCTTCCATGGTTCAGCATGGAAGGGGCGGCTTCCTATAAACCATATCTTTTGATAACATTTTTAACGCTCGTGGAAGCTGTGACTTCCAAATGACGACTTCCACTCCTGCGTAACAAGCTCAGGAGTGGAAGCGTGGTTTCTATAAAGCAAACAATACTTCAAAGTTTCACTGCAGTCTTGTTTTTCTTTAAAGGGATTGTATACTATAATACCATTTATCTTTATTGTACGAAAGTCACAATCACTCTTAGCCATTAAATGTCAAATTAGACAGCTTGTAGTATGTCATCAAGTTCAATATTTTTTTTTTTTTTTTTTTTATTATTTTGAGTCTAATCAATAGAGCTCCTATAACCACCCGATTCGAAATTTAATGCACAAGTATGATTGTGACCTTCTTGTATAAAACAATATCTTTACATACTTTTCTTTCTTTAAAATATTATCCTGAACAAAACATGAAATAATATAGCTTGTTTTAAAATACACTAGTTGGATTCCGTGCATTGCACGTAACAAGGAAATGAGCACGGCATAAATAATCATGTAAATATGCAATAGAGAGCACATAAAAAATAAATTATAAAATAATTATATCAATGTGAAATGTGAGAATAAATGGATAGACCTTTTTTTTTTGGCCTTTTCTTTTTATTCTCATTTGTTGATTGTCTTTATAAAAACATATCTGTTATTCTCATTTGTTGAATATCTTTATAAAAGTATATCCTATATGACAATGCTTAATTTTTAGTTTTAAAAAATTACATTTTTTGTTTACTTTTTAATTTTTCAACATACAAACTCAAACAAGCTTTCTATGCTTCCCCTACAACATAAAACTTATATATTTCCCCCTATCCAACCATCCATTCTGAATGGAGGGCTAAGATTGCCCCAATCACAATGTCACGTTTCTGCACTATTTTATTTGTTACTTTTTTATATAAACTATTTTAACACCAAATTTTGGACGTCCAATCCTCTATTAAACTCGCACTAGCGAAAAATATTAAAACAATATTTTCAATAAAATAAAATGACCCAAATACCTCTGAAAGCTTCAAGAGGTATTTTGATCATCATATTTTATCGAAAAATTATTTTTCATATTTTTTATTGGTGTGCACCAATGAGAAGATGACACGTACCAAATTTCATATTCATACAATTTGTATAAAACAAATTAAAAATAAAATATTTTGAGACGTCAGATCTAAGATCGAACGGTGAGTGGCTCTCTTGATAATTGGACGGCTAGATGGTAGGGGAAGCATAGATCTTCTATGTTGTAGGGGAAGTATAGAAACCTTTCTCAAGAAATAATACCCATAGTTGAATTATTATATTATTATTATTATTCTTATGGTTACATTAGGTGATACTCTTGAATTTATTAATTTAGTTTATTTATGAATTTTACTCATTTATAATTTGGATTTCCCCCTTGTCATTGCTAGATATACAGTTTGTAATCATCGAACTTTCAATTTTTCTAAAATTGATCATAATTAATTTTATTGCATTGTAATTATTGTGTAGTATTTTCTACAAAAATAGGATTCTAACTCTAACAACTTTTGATATTTTTAGTTATAGTTTATTATGAATTAGAAATTATTTATCATTACTTAGAAATTTAAAATAAAATATGAATATTAAGAATGACTTTTTAATATTCCAGTTACAAAATTTTAAATATTATAAGAGATTATATCTTAATTCACAAAACCCGTAGGATGCAATATGTGTTTCTCTTTTTGAATTTTATGAAATTTATATTACAAATTATTTATGCTTATGATATGTATATATATATTAGTTACTAGCATATATTATAGTTTTATACTGTCAAAGACTAATTTTCAAATAATTCAACTTTATGAGTCGATGCATTATGTTGGTCTTCCAATGCCGTATTTTTTTAACAATTTAATTTATTTAAGATACCATGGCGTTTAATGATGATTATGTTATTTATTTTCTTTTTTGTTTTTATATTTTTAATTGAAAATTTTCATTAATCATTAAAGCATATGAAATAAACTAGACTATTAATTTACACAAAATTCAAACTCAAACATAAGTTTGGACTTTAAATAACACAAGAAAATTTTTCATATAAAATGACTTAACAACAAATCATATATCAAAAAGAAATTATGCTACAACAAATGGGAGAAAATAGCTGTATACAAAATCAAATTATATGGAAACAAAATGGTAGTATAAAATTTAGACATGAGAAAACAAAAATAACTAAATAACTAAAAGCAATAACACTTAAGAAAAATCTAAAGACTTCTTAAATTAAAAAAATTGAACTATTTAACAACGCACAAAAAAAAACCCAAAAAAACGAAAGAAGAAGAAAGAAGAAGAAGAAGAAGAAGAAGAAAAGAAGAAGAAGAAGAAAGAAACAAGGAAGGAAGGAACAGAGAGAAAGAAAAAAAGAAGAATGACTCTTCCCACTCCCAAAGATCGAATCGCTCTCTCCATCCTTTCCCACTCCTAAAGATCACATCCTCTGCCTCTCCCTCTTTCACATCTCTCTCTGCCCCAAAGATAATGCCCAGATCATGTCCATCTAAAAACTCACTCTT